CCGCACTTTCAATCAAATTACATTAAAAACACCCATGACTTGACGGATTTTTCATTTGTATACTATGCGTGGTGTGGCCTGGGTATTTAGTGGTTAATGTCAAAAGAATACAGCATTGGTTTAAACGTAATGAACAAGTATAATCTTAATGAGAAAAGATTTATCTGAATTTGAAAAATGTTCAACCTAGAAAGTACTTCTAAATTACTATACTATACGGACTACAATTAACAATACTTCAACATTTGATTTTGTCTAAGGACAAGTAATGCTTTTTTTTTTCTTTTTTTGCAAGCCATTGTATTCTCCTAAATCTCCTAAATCGGTTTAATGTTTTAGGCATGAAAGTGAAACAAATAAATAAACAAATTTGCTGTTACATTTATAATATAAATATGGATAATAAGTTTAGAATAGTGAGAGGATATGTATATTTTGGCGACAGCGTATAGGAAACCAGTTGAGCTTATTTCGAAACTCTGAAACGTGGTCTAATTTGCGCATTCAAAGATGACATCAATGAAGATAACTCCTCGGTGACATAATTGTATTGTAGTAAGGTATTTTGTGTGGAGGAACGGGTGTCATGTCCCTCCAACACAAAGGGAGGAGATGTTGGAGGGACATGAAACCGTTCCTCCACATTTAGCAAAACGCAATTTTTGTTAGTATAAAGTTGCGTAACCTCTCTAGGACCCAACAAAAGCAAAAACTTTTCTGTTTACTTCTAATAGTTGCAGATAATTTTTTATCCTCACATATTCCTTACATATATTTTAACTGTAATCGTATTTGCAATGAAAATGGTGCTTTATTTACTTGCTCCTTTTCTATAAGACTAAAGTGTATACAATTGCCAGCATAACGGGTTGTTTGTCTTGAACAAAATAATTGATGTACGCGGTTTCGAAGTGGGCAATTAACAAAGCAGGTCAAACAGAAGTGGGATACGTGTTCGTTGGGTTAATCATGTAATAACATTTGCAGCGCGAGAGGCGGCCGGGAACCGCGCTAACAATGTTGACCGTGGTGAGCAAACACTGACGGCTGCGTCAGCCAACGGTACGGCGCACCCGCGCGCCGCAATATGTCTGCAACCCTTTAATATTATATCTGTACAATACTAATATATAAAATCTTATCTAAGGCAAAATTATTTGGGGGTTGTCTTTCTTTGTTTAAGAAACACGTTCATTCATGAAATATTCGTGGTTGGTTGAGTTACACGATATTGGGGCAAAGATTAATCGTAAGAACCGTTACTAGGACAAGAACTTGTAAAATTACTTTCTATAAGTTAACAGTAATGTGTCTCGGAGCGCTGTCGCCATCTTCTTATATAGTTTCTGCTGGTGAGGGTTATTAGAGCTCTACGTTGGAAGGGATCAGATAGTTAAAGCGCAAAGTACGACAATAGTTTTGCGAGTATTTGAAAGGCGGTAACCGATTACCATGAGCTGGGGTGTATGTTTAGAGATACATTTAGTATATACATTTAGATACGTTGCTAAAGATACATTTGGTAGTAGTACTTTCTATTCAAAAAGTCTCGAGAATTGGAAAACGCAAGCGAAAGCTAGTATTATTACATATTTCAGTAGATTGAAACACTAGATAGATCGAACACATGTCTAAACCAAGGTTTACATATACATACAAAGTAATTGAGAATGAGGTCAAAAACGCTGTCATACAATAATAATATTATACTATTTATCACAGGAATGCGAGAAGATTAATTATTATTTCAAAACAATTATAAAGTAATTAGACAATAAACAGAGCAAGGAATACACGTGATGGCTAATCGTGTTAGTGACCGAAGGTTTTAAATATTTTATGTCTTTGTTAATTTTCTATACATTAACTTTCACTGACGTCCGAGTCTCCTTCCTCTATTAAGGTCTACTCAGTTACAGTTCTAGATACGAGTATCACAGTTGTAACAAAAGGTCACTATCTTTTACGTAGGATCCAATATCATTTCCTAAGAAGTTGATGTCCTATTGTTCTGCTTTCCCTTGCGGAGAAGGCGTGAGAGAGAAAAAATCTTTCTTTTTCTTTTCTATAATCTACAATCTGTAAACGTAAAAATCTATTTTTTCAGAAATTTCATTTTTTCTGCTGTTACGATCCAAACAAAAACATGAGTAGGTAGTCGGGCAACACCGCTCATATTTTGTAAGTAATGAATTGGCACATAAACGAATAATTTAAATACGAATCAGTCAGTTATTATACAATAACAGGCGCATCGTTTCAATTATAAAGGGATAATAAGGAAGGGTTGCGGAGTGGCAGGTCACGCTCTCTAGGTGATTAAATATAATTCGCGATTATGCTGAACGCCTGACCCCTTGCGGTCGGCGACGCGTGAAATCACTTTGTTTTACGGTTAGCCTCTTCACAGCCATACATTGCCTCATCCTTGCATAACTTTACTGAAACTTATAGCTAAATGTTAACAGATTTCTACTAGATAGAGCATTTAATAAATAAATTTAAGTAGATAATATATTATCTTGAGGTGCCTTAATTTTAATACCTTTCAAATACTTTTGATTTTTTTAAATCGTCAACCACAAATTACTTAGGTATATCGTTGTGTATAAGAACTTTAATAGACTTTAGTTTTGAAGGTTAAGTTCCAGTTCAGTAGTTGTTTTAATAAATGCACCTCTTTCCAAGTTACTAAAAATTTTATGGTGTGTGTGGTAAAATGTTTATAATAAACATTTTTCTGATACAAATACATGTTCAGAACAAAACCTAACTTAACTTGTCATACTCGTAGTTGAGTATGTGTAACATATAAATTCATTAAATGTCAAAGTTAACTAGACAACCTCCTAGACTTCTCTCCCTCCAAGTTTAAGGCGTAAATTACGATTGTAGATAAAGATTTAGTAGCGTTTTCTAAAAATTAATGTCCTACGTTATTCTCCTAAGTTTTGTTTTTTTTTTTATGTCGAAGGTGGCAGACGAGCAGACAGGTCACCTGATGGAAAGTGACCATCACCACCCATGAACGTCCTCAACTCAGGAGTCGCAAACGCGTAGCCGGACTTTTAGTAAGGACGCTCTTTTCTCGAAGGTTTGAAGGTCGTATCGGTCCAAAAATACCGCAGACTATAACCCGTTCCACAGATTGGTTGTGCGGGGCAAAAAGTGTCTCGAAAAGCGCACAGTAGCGGAACGCCAACTATCCAGGTGATGAGGATGAAAATTTTGCCGCGTGGAACGAAAGTTGCGGCTGGTATTAGTCCGAACAATTCTTCGGAGCACTCTCCATGATATATGCGATAGAGAATGCAGAGTGAAGCCACATCTCTACGTACCACCAAGGGATCGAGCCGATCGGAGATGTTTGGGCTATAGACGATTCGAGTCGCTCTTCGTTGGATGCGGTCCAGAGGGAGAGGCTGGTACTGAGGTGCGCCTGTATAGAGTTGAGAACAGTATTCCATATGCGGACGTACTTGCGCCTTATAGGGCAAAGGCGATGGGCCGGAGTGAAGTACTGCCTCGATATGTTCAGCACACCGAGCTTCTTCGAGGCCAATTTGCCCTTACCCTCTAAGTGATCCCGAAACTGGACTTCGCTAGATATGTCGATGCCTAGGATTCCGATGCTGGCTGAGGCAGTTAAAGAGGTGCTCTCAAACCGAGGTGATACGACAAATGGTACCTTATTTGCGGTGAACGCACAGACCTGTGACTGTTTTGGGTTGTACATAGTAATGCTTTATTTAATCTGAATGTAAATAAAAATAAATTTGTCAATATTTCATAACTATTATATATAAGAGCAGAAATACTGCGGCTCCAACACTATCCTTAAAGCCGATGTCGGAAAATTGATTTTTCTTTTCCTCACGATCAGTAATCTTTTTCTCGATAAAATGTACCTTTTGTCAATGTCTATTGCCTTGACAACGTATAATACATAATTCAAAACAATCGGTCGAGTGTTTGCTTGAATGATTCAGATTTTGTCCACAAAACTACTCGGTGACAGTACTTTTTTGGGATAAAAGGCTCATTATATCCTTTTCTGTACAACGGTGTTAAAAAGAAAAAGAGAAGGCGTGAAAACTTAACAAACTAACAAGTTTACTTTCGTATTTTTATGACTTCGGATTACAGTTAGGATAAGGATTTCACCGTAGGATCAATTTAAGTGTTCACAGAACGAATTTTCGAACGTGTTTGTTTAGGCTTATGTAGAACGCTTGATATGCCTTAAATATTCCTCTAATAATCATAAAATATGTTTTACTTATTCTAGTAATTACATAAAAACACAAAAAAACTAGTTTTATAAAAGACACAGTAAGTTTTTACATTCTATTTATCATGTGTGTTTTTTTGTGCCCTTAGTGATTTAAAGATATCTCATCGAGTCGGTTAGTACTCTCTGTAGAAGGTTGTTATGTTCCTTGTTTCGCGTAGAGTCATCAAATTTGGATTAGGCTATTAATGTGTAAAGATTTATAATGCCCGCTAAAATTACTGTTAACATAACAGAATAGTTATAATTTCTAACTATTAACTATATGTATACCAATATTGTATACAGCTCCTTAGGAACAGTTTAGGGCAGGTGCTATGAAATATGTGGTTTTCATAGCAAAGGGCATTTTGTCCGATTGAAATACAGCTTGACTCAAATGGTTAAAGCTGCTTTGTATAAGTCTATTGTATCTTAATCTAAATAAAGACAGTTACTTATGCATACGTGATGTAGATATTGATTAAGTGTTGCAACTTACGTGTACAATACCTACTGAAGTATACATATATTTCGTAATGTATGTCATATTATTATTATATTATGTTATGATATTACTCTAGTGTTAGCGAACTTATGTCAGTGAAAATAAAGGCTATACGTGTATGCGCGCGTCGCGGTACGTCATTGGGTCGGAGGGCGGAGTTTCGCGCCGCCCTGTGCCGCGGCGGCAGTACGCTCCAGGCCGGCGTGCGCCCCGCACGGCCCCATGGTGGAACACGCGCAAGTGGACTGCTCTCAGGCGAGCGCCATGCAGACTCTGCCTCCACAACCGCACCGCGAAGCCGACGAGGACCAACTCGCTGATGAGTACGTCCAGAATTTTGAACTTGATCACCTCGAAGACCACAATGTTGTAAAGCGTGAACCCTTACGAAGTGGTTGGCAAGAGATGGCTGAACCTCCACCCGCTTGTGCTCGTGCATGTCGTCCGTGGCCAGACGCAGGACCTTATCCTCAACCACACGTTGCCATAGCAGTTGATCCCAGCACACCACCGGAGACTCCACCTGGCACCGTCGGACGTAGCCCTTGTAGGGCCGCTTTAGTAGAAGATGTTTTATGGTTACCTCACATGCGAGAACCTCTCGATATGCGCACAGTACCTTGTGGCAGTTTTGAAGAATGGGACCGAAGAGAGTGGCGAGAACAGGATCACCATATGCAACAGGTCGCGCTGCGCCCAGCCAGTTCCTGTTCGGCGATGTCTCCAAGAACAGGACCACATGCTTATCAATCTTCGTCCTGTGGAGATGATCTAATAAGCGACGATTTGCTCATGACGCTGAGTGTTCGTGAACTGAACAAACGTTTGCACGGATTTCCGAGAGAAGATGTAACGCGACTGAAACAGAAACGGCGAACGCTGAAAAACCGTGGCTACGCCCAAAATTGTCGCAGTAAACGATTGCAACAGAGGCAGGAGCTAGAGTTGACAAACCGATCGCTACAGGACGAGCTGCATGTACTGCAGTTACAAGTAGCGCGCGTGACACACGAGCGTGACATGCTGAAGCAACGGCTGGCGCTGGTGGGGCGCGACCACGCAGTACCACAGCACGCACCTCCCACGCCACACTCTTCACCAGAATTTTTCTCCGAGCTGTGACGGCAGGGCGCGGCGCCGCGGGCCGGCGCCTCCGCCGCCGCCTCGTCCTCATGCGCCTGGCAGCGCTATTGACGTGTCGTCGAAGTTCCGTTTACGTGCTCCGCGTTGCCGAGACACTCGTGCTTTTGTTAAGTTTGAAATGTAATTATATCATCGGTTCCAGTTTTATAGTTTTTTTATTAAGGTGGAACAATGTAGCCCTTTCGATCCGTCGGAAACGGCTTCCAGCACCGTGTTAAATATATGGTTGTGTCGTAAGATATGCATAGCTTCGTTAAAGTAAACGTATTACTAAAATTTAGATTTATTCATAAGTTAAATTGAGTCAAGACAACTGATTAATCAAATAATTGTAAATAGATACATAAATGACGAATATTATCTTGTGTTTTAAAAATAAAATATTCCTGAAAATATTCTTTTATTTATCTATTAACACAATTATAATCACAAATATTTTCAGGATACCCAACCTGGTATAATGTACATAAACAAAGTTGGTGCTTACTTTATCTTGTATCGGACATTTAACATAGTTTAATAATATAGTGATTTCATACACATTAATGACTTTTTCTCTGCAAAGTTTAAACATCCTTTGATCGCTAGCCTTTATCTTATACACAGAAACACATGTTGTACTTGCTTACTGAAAATGTATCAGAATTGTGATGTACAATTACTTTTTCAAAAGCAAGTTTAATTGTAATAGCATTCCAATTCTAGTGAAATGACTTGAGGCATCCCGTAAGAATTCACTTGGATTAAAAATTTAACAAAATAGAAATATAAAATCTTTGAAAAGTAAAGAAGGTAAAATCCTAGTTAACAATTTACTTCTATAGTCAAATTTACTTTTTTAAATAGTATAATTTATTGTATTTCTATGGGCTCTTGCAACACCAGATAAATCACAAACGCGTTGACAACATACGTACCTGAGTGCAAGACTGCCAATTCAAAATATAAAAGTAAGCCGTGTTTTTCAGTGATAAAATTGATAGTTTCCTTTAGATCTTATGTTCCACATTGGTATTATTATCACTTACCACATTATTTTAAGAATATCGCCTTCAAGTAGCAAAGTAATTATCTCAATACTGTGCGTCCAAATTAATCTATTGGAATGTATTAACTTCAACGTAAGTTAATTTAAAAAATAATGCTACTTCAACAGGCAGGTTTCGTCGGGTTTTGATGTGTTTTAATTATTTTTTTGAGACAATGCTCAATTTATATGCAGTGATCTTTTCAAATAAACCTACCTGTTTTTTATTGTGGATCAAAGGAAATAGTGTGTACGAGATAATACAAAGTTTTTTTTGTATATTTACTTAGAATTGTCTATTTCACTTTTCCACATCACTATTACACAACCGTATTTCACCTCATATGTTTATTTCATCTGAATAATAAACATATGAATTAAAAATTAATCTGAATAATAATAAACAAGGCTATTACCACCTTATATATTTTTTAATTCTAAAACTTTTCTAACGATTTATAACAATTTTTCTGAACACAGAACCTGTGATCGGGCACTGTTATAATCACATTTAAATCGAAACCGAATGACTGAGGGATTTATGTAACAAAAGCTATAAAAAATATATAGTTTTTCACTCTTTCAATAACTTGCAATATTATTGACGATACAGACAAACATTAGTAGACAGCAACAATGACCGGCTTTTTGTTCAGCAGGTGGGAATCAATTTAATTTAATTTTTATTTTATATCCGGTGATTCCAATGTTTTAGCGGTACTAGTCAGTGGACTAAGTTATTTTGGTTACAACCGCTCAGGTAGAAATTCACACTATTAGGATATGATTACACACATATACTAGGATATGATTAATTATAAAAATATTTGCACATATCAATTTTATGCTTATAGGGAGGTCAATGCAATTCAAATTATCCTTGCGTTAGGGCGATTCTGGCATAAATAGCATAGGAATCAAATTATTTATTTAAATAAAATTTCAACATTACATACATAAAAATTGTTATGAAAACATAGTAATAAAGTAAAGTTGTACTCAATTATGTGAGTCCAATGACTCTCGAAGATGATGATTGTGCAATACAACGTTAACGACGCCATCATTCGAACTTGATTGCCCAACAGTTGCAAAAATTGAGGTCGATCGTCGAATGGTAGGTAAGTAAAGACAGCATATTAGTAATAATATGGCAATTATATATCTACTTAGGTATTTATCATGTTACGATTTAAAAAACCTTACATTTAGGATTATTATTTTTGACCTTAGAACACCCAAGCGAACTACGTACTTGAAGAATGGACATATAATGCTTCTATTTAATTTTTATAAATAAAAAAAAAATATCACTACCATTAATCGTAATAGGACGTAGATGTTTACTGCTGGTGTGCTTGACATAGGCCTCCTTTTAACAGTTTCTAAAAAACTTATTAGAAGTTGCCGACGCCTTTACCTATGGAAGGAGCTTTATCCCACAATCATATTAAAGAACAATAAAATAACAAATTTACTTTTACGTTATTACTGAACTCATTTAACATTCTTCAATAAAAATTCTTTCTATTCCTGATGAATATTGGATAGCGGGCTTTGACTGCCAGGAAACGAGTTTGGGAGATTGTTGCTAAGAACGATTCAAGAGAGATTTTTGTATTAAAAGATGTGTCCTTAAAGTGTAAAGAGAAAGTAGATCCTACTATTTACAATTGCAGAAGATGCCATTATCGGAGTCATATTTTATTTTTCATTAAACTTCAGTAAGATACCGGAAAAATGTTTTTTGAAAGATTATTTACTTACTTAATTGAAAGGTTTTTGAACAGTATTATTATATATTTTGGCATTGATGATGACGAGTGAAACTTTCCACAAGTATCGAGAATACGACAACTACATAATTTTATAATAACTGTTATTTATACAACCGAATGACCTAGTAAACACTAAACAAAGTTGCAGTTTAATAAACTCATTTGTAACTGAGCTATATTGAATCTGTTTTTTGTGTAATATATAGCGGCTAGAAATAAATATTGTTTCTACTTTATTAGCCTTACAATTGATTATCTTTCCTAGAAGGCTATGTATAAAATGTAGCTCTTTAAACTAATTAAAATACAGCACAGCTGTACTGATTTTGATTTTATGATTACTTTTCTCTTATATTGTTACTTTGTGTTATAAACAGCGGTGTTTAAATCATCTATCTTTTGTCTGTTTGTCTGTCTGTTACCTCTTCACGCTTAAACTGCTGAACCCATTTAGATGCTATTTGGTATAGAGGTAGTCCGAGTCCCGGGAAAGGATATAGGGTAGTTTTTATCCCAGAAATCATCCTTTAAGGGGGTGAAAAGCGGGTGGAAGTTTGTATAGTGAATCAATAACCGCTGAACCGATTTAGATGAAATTTAATATGGAGTAACTTTGATTCTTGATAAAAAACACAAGCGTTAATACTTCTACTTCAAATTCAACAAGAGAGGGCTTGCACTGTTAAGCCCGTGACCACGGCCAGTGCAACCTTGGTATATTACACCTATAAAATCGGGTTTAAAATATCAGTAAAAACAAAAATACCAGTTGATAGTGTTAGGGTTATAAAGTAGCAATAGATCTTGAAATAGTTACGAGATAGTTACCAATTTCGCTCATCCTTAGTGTAAGGGTAAGCGAAATTGGTAGCAAATTGTAAAAAAACATACTAACTGTACTCAGCAATTCTTTATATTTTAATTTAATTGGAATGTGATTTCAGCAACTTCAGGGTTCCTGGCAAACGCTTGTTGTATTTTTTAATCGCAAGGTGTCACGTTTGTACTGCTCAAATTTTTCCAAATCTAATTATATTAGAATCCACCGTTGCAACATGAATTTGATGTATCTTTTGATTTGAATTTTAGAAACGACTGGACCATTTTTTATAAACGTATTTTTTCTTCATCACTTCACTATGAGAATATTCTCTTAATTTCTGGTGTGGGTGAATTTTCAAGATCAATATTGTTACCTACTTAAAAATATTTCTTGTTAAGAGATTTTGTTTGGGTTTAACACAGGTATATGGAAAACATAACATAAATATTTATTATATAGATTGTCATTTCATTTGGCTATGAATTAGTAGCGTACTAATGTACTTAAGATGTGAATAGTCATATTAAGAAATATAATATCATAATCAAAACAGTTTATAGGTAGTTAATCTTACGGCGCTTGCAGGCCTGTGCGCTTTGCGCCCGATAACAACAATGTAGCAAGTACCTACTCGGTATGTTATAGGACCCTAATGTATATTGTGTACAATACCGTCACACGGCGATGGTCGTAATTTGATACTAATGTTTTATTAGAAATGAATGGCGTCGAGTTCTTTGATAGCGAAGCTAAATAAGTACGGATATGATGGACGATGTTATTCTACTTATGCTAATGAATTTGTAATTTTATAGCATTATTATAATAACTTATAAAGAAACAAATCTTGTATAATTCTAAATTGAGAATTTGATATCTTAAACCGAGCTATGTTTACCTCGTGTTGTTCTAGAACATGAGTGCATATTTTTAAACAAATACTAGCTCTTATCCACGGCTCCGCTCGCGTAAATGTCAATTTTGTCAATAAATTTGGCCGGGATAAATAGTAGCCTTTGTGCTAATCTAGACTATAATCTATCTATGTGCCTGATTTAGTCCAGCTCCTGGAAGCCGTTTTGGCGTGACTGAAACATACTTACGTTTTGAAAAGTTAAGTAAATAGGTGTCTAATTATTATTATTTTTGATAGAGAATATAATTATACTGTGAGTTGGGAATCGACAATTAAAAAAGAAATAGTTCCCAATACAAACTCGCACCATTTTTTAAGAGTAGTTTTGAAAAGTTTAGTAACCACTTTTTTTCTAAGTTCTTTTAATAAAGAGTATTAACTGTAAGTTTGAAAACGTTTCTACCAAAAAATAACTAAGTTTCATATACATTTTAA